TTTTAATAAAACTTTATTTACAAAGGCAAGCCATGGGCTGGATTTGTCCAGTGGGCTGGATCATCAACCTCCAGAGGAATTAAGACTGATAATAAAAGTCCTGGGTGACTGTCAGACAAGACAGATGCCCATATGTACTCAGAGCCCACAGACAAAGAAAACGTCAATGGGCATGGGACTCCCGGCTGCGCCTCAGGTGAATATCAGGTATTGATCCGCACTGAGCTGCTTCACATTTGGGCAAGACTGTTTTCAGACCCACAGGTAAGGAGAAGCAGGGATGTATTACATGATAGTAAATGATTCCTCTAAACTACACAAGGACATGGATATAATTACATGTGCAAATTTGTTACACACGTACACTCATGTCACAGGGGTTTGTGGTACAGATTATTTCATCACCCAGGTACTAAGCCTAGTACCCAACAGTTATTTTTCTGCTTTTCTCCCTCCTCCAGCCTTTCACCCTCAAGTAGCGTCTGCTGTTCCCCTCTTTGTGTCCATGTATTCTCATCATTTAGCTGCCACTTATAAATGAGAACACGTAATATTTGGTTTTCTGTTCTTCTGTTAGTTTGCTAAGGATAACAGCCTCCAGCTCCATCCATGTTCCCGCAAAAGACATAATCTCAGTATATCATTTTGATGGCTGTGTAGTATTCCATGGTATATATGTACCACATTTGCTTTATCCAATCTGTCATTGATGGGCATTTAGGTTGATTCCATGCCTTTGCTATTGTGAATAGTGCTGCAATAAACATTCGTGTTCATGTGTCTTTATGGTCGAATGATTTTATATTCCTCTGGGTATATACCCAGTAACAGGATTGCTGGGTTAAATGGTAGTTCTATTTTTGGCTCTTTGAGGAATTGCCATACGCTTTCCACAATGGCTGAACTAGTTTACACTCCCACCAACAGTGCATAAGCGTTCCCTTTTCTCCACAATCTCATCAGGATCTGCCAAGAAATGGTATCTCACTGTGGTTTTGACTTGCCTTTCTCTAATGATCAGTGATGTTGAGCTTTTCTTCATATGCTTGTTGGCTGCCTGTGTGTCTTCCTTTGAAAAGCAGGCAGTTCCTAATTCCATGACTTGGCAGATTAGCTGTGTGCCCTTCCGCCCTGGGACTCACTCACTCCTCACAATGAAAGTGTGAGGTGGGAAATCAAAGGGACCTCTGCTTTACAGGACAGGAGTAGAAAGAGGGCCAGACCCAGCAGAATGTCCCAGCAACGCCCCAATTCCCATGTATCTGATGGGGATACACTCTACCTAAGAAAGCAACTCCATTCTTGCACAGCAGCTCCGGAAGTTTAGGGTTTTCAGAAGCATGGCCCCAGCCAGCCCACACCGCCTGCAACACAGAAAGGGGTGAGCAACAATCTTCCTTCAAGAATATGCCTCCCAGCCGGGCACAGTAACTCACACCTGTAACCCCAGCACTTTGGGAGGCCGAGGCAGGAGGATCATTTGAGCCCAGGAGTTCAAGACCAGCCTGGCCAACATGGCGAGATCCTGTCTGTAAAATTTTTTTAAAAAAAGAATGTGCTTCGCATCACTTGAACACTCTTTTCTGTTATGTCAGCCCAGGAATTTGGAGCCTTGTGGGACCTGGACCCTCTGCCCCTTGTGAACTGTGGAATTGAACTAGAACCAAGGGGCATCATCCCACACTCAGAGACCACACTCAGGCACCCTGGTCCGTCTACCTGCACAGGGATTCTCTTGGCAATGTCCACAATCAGCTCCACGTTGGCATAGTTGTTGTTATTAGGCCCTCCTGGGACGGGGACGTACTGATCCGCCATCTTGATGTACTCTGAAATTAAATGGGAGCAAGAAGAAAGGAACTGCTGACAGACGGATGTCAATGGCAGAACATTACAAGATATGACTGTGTACAGCCATGGAAAGCAGAACCATGCAGACTTCTATGGCAACAACGGACAAACATGTATGAAAATGTAAAGAGAAGGCTGGGCATGGTGGCTCATGCCTATAATCCCGCACTTTAGGAGGCTGAGGCAGGCAGATCGCCTGAGCCCAGAAGTTCGAAACCAGCCTGGTCAACATGGTGAAATCCTGTCTCTACTAAAAATACAAAAATTAGCTGGGCATGGTGGTAGGCACCTGTAATCCAAAGTACTCGGGAGGCTGAGGTGGGCGAATTGCTTGAACCCAGGAGGTGGAGGTTGCAGTGAGCTGAGATCATGCCACTGCACTCCAGTCTGGGTGATGGAACAAGACTCTGTCTCATTTATTAAAAAAAAAATAAAAAGGAAGAAAATTTAAAGAAAATGAAATATGATTTTAATTACGTGAAACAGATGTGTCTCTAGACAAGGCCTGGAAGGCCTGGAAGGGAACGAAGGACAAAGGAAGTAATCTGTCAACAGAGTGGGATTAGAGGTAGGTTTTTAAAAATATTTCCTATTTAAAGTTTATCTTAATATTGTTTTACCATTAAATAATACAATAGGGCTGGGTGCGGTGGTGCACACCTGTCATCCCAGCACTTTGGGAGGCCGAGGTAGGAGGATTGTTTGAGGCCAGGAATGCAAGGTCAGTTTGGGCGATAAAGGGAGACCTTGTCTCTACAAAAAAAAAAAAAAAAAGTAGCCAGGAATGGTGGTGCATGCCTATAGTCCCGGCTACTTGGGAGGCTGAGGCAGGAGGATCACTTGAGCCTCAAAGGTCGAGGCTACAGTGAGCTGTGATCATGTCACTGCACTCCAGCCTGGGCGACAGAGCAAGGTCCTGTCTCAAAAAAAAACCCAAACAAACAAACAAACAAAAATACAATCAGAGTTTTAAATTATGGTAAAAAAAAAAAAAAACACCGTAAAATTTACTATCTTAACCATTTTTGAGTGTACAGTTCAATAGTGAAATATATTTATATCATGAAACAGATGTCCAGAACTTTTTCATTTTATGAATCTGAAACTCTATACTCATCAACAACTCCCTTTTTCTCCCTCCCTGAAGTCCTTGGCAACCAACGATATACACTCTCTCTCGCTCTCTCTATGAATTGCACTACTCTAGTTACCCCTTATACATGGAATCATGCAGTATTTGTCTTTTTGTGACTGGCTTATTTCACTTTTTGGGACCAGCACAATGTCCTCAAGGTTCATCCATGTTGTAACACATGACGGGATTTCCTTCCTTTTTAAGGCTGAACATAATGCAATATTTTGATTTTAAAATACTCACGCTCTTTAAGCCAGAAATTCCACATCTAAGAATATGTCCTTAAAAAAACCACATGTTGGCTGAGCGCAATGGCTGACATCTGTAATCTCAGCACTTTAGAAGGCTGAGGAGGGAAGATCACCAGAAGTCAGGAGTTCAAGACTAGCCTGGCCAACATGGTGAAACTCTGTCTCCACTAAAAATACAAAAATTAGCCGGTCATGGTGGTGCACGCCTCCCAGCTACTTGGGAGGCTGAGGCACGAGAATTGCTTGAACCCGGGAGGTGGAGGCTGCAGTGAGCCAAGATCGCACCACTGTACTCCAGCCTGGGCAACAGAGCAAGACTCTATCTCAAAAAAAAACAACAGACAAACAAAAACCCACACATCAATGAGGCCAAAGTCAGACGACAGCCACTGAGCAGTGTTTCAGACTAGGAAAAGTTAGACTCAATCCAAACACAGGGGTTGGGACATCTGTACTATGAAATTTGCTACGATCCTGAAATTGAAGATTACGGCACTTTATATGCAAACACAGAAAGAAACTCCAGAGCTGCTCCTTCCGGCCTGCCTGCCTCCTACATTTATCAAACACAGAAATGTTGGCCAATGGGGAGATTCCAGAGATGACAAAGGGAGCGGCCAGACACGCTACCTGGTCCTCATCCAGTTTTTCTTTTATGTTGGAGAAGATAAACAAGAAAATAAACACAATAACTACAGACTCAGGTCAGTGCTGGGAAGAAAATAAATGAGCTTCTCTGAGAGAGATGCAAGGATCATGTTGAGACCTACAGACTGGGTGGGGAGGGAGTCCACTGCACAAAGGGCTCTGGGAGAAGCACCTTCAATAGAGGATCCAGCAGGTACCAAGACTCTGCAACAGGCCCAGGAGCCGCCAGAGGCCAGCGTGACTGGTACCCGGCTGATGGAGGGTGAGAGGTTCGAGATGGAGTCAGGAGGGGACTTACGGGCCTCGGTGAGAATCTTGAATTTTAGACTAACCAAGACGGGAGGACCCACTGGATAATGCTCTGAGCTCAGACCAGTGTTCCCATCCCACCTGCATCACATGACGGTTGTGTGACCCTGGACAAGTGATAAATTCACGTCCCTGTGCCTCGACTGTGCCATCTGTAAAACAGAGCTATAAGTAACAAATGAGGCCATGTCTGTGCAGAGCTTGGGGCAGGAAGGCTTAGGGGATGGTGCTGAGGTTGCTACTACTGGGAAGAGCATACAGTCTCTGACACATTTTAAGAAGAAGCATGAAAAGACCTGAAGACCTGACTTATGTTGGTTTTTGTTTTGCTTTTTTTTTTTTTTTGAGACAGTCTTGCTCTGTCACCCAGGCTCAAGTGCAGTGGGGTGATCTCAGCCCACTGCAACCTCCACCTCCTGGGTTCAAGCAATTCTCCTGCCTCAGCCTCCTGAATAGCTGCGACTACAGGCACCTGCCACCATGCCTGGCTAATTTTTGGGAGGTATTTTTAGTAGAAATGGGCAGGCTGGTCTCAAAATTCCTGGCCTCAAGTGATTCGCTCTTCTTGGCCTCCCAAAGCCCTGGGATTATAGGCGTGAGCCACTGTGCTCGGATCTGAGTTATGCTTTTAGGTTTATGTTGTTTTATTTGAGACAGAGTCTCAGTCTGTTTCCCAGGCTGGAATGCAGTGGTGTAATCACAGCTCACTATAGCCTAGACCCCCTGGGCTGAAGCGATCCTCCCACCTCAGCTTTCTGGGTAGCTGAGACTACAGGTGCATGCCACTGTACCCAGTTATTTTTTTATTTTTATTTTTTGTAGAGACAGGGTCTTATGTTGCCCGGGCTGCTCTCAAACTCAAGGGCTCAAGCAATCCTCCCGCCTCAGCCTCCCAAAGTGCTGGGATTACAGGCACGAGCCACCACTCTGGCCAAGGTTTTTTGTTTTTAACAACCTTCAGAAAACACAGCAGAATAAGTTATGTTTCTAAAAGGTCACTTTGGCTGCTGTGGGGAGTAGGGCCTATAAAAGGATAAGACTGTTCAGGAAAAAAGTAAATCATCCAACAGTTGTTTATAGAATGATTCATCATAAAAAAACTCAGGCAAATGAAAGGAAGAATGAACAAGTAATTGAAATTACATCCTCCTTCAGGAAAACACCAGGAGCAACAACCCTCAGTCTGCTAGAATACAACACCTGCAGGAAAACACCAGGAGAAACAGCCCCCAATCTGCTAGAACACAACATTTCTCAAAGATCCAATTTCCTCTGCATGTTAACCATTTGCATTTTTGTAAGGCACAGTCATTCTTGATGTCAGCAGACATTTTAATTAAATAAAGAAGGAAGGACAAATAAATACAGACTCATGAGAGGTCCTGACCATCTGGAGTCCAGGATGGACTTGCCTAGGCACAGGGGAAGGAGGCGAGGGCAGGCAAGGATGGGGCGTGGCGGGAGGAGAGGGTCAAGGCCCAGGTACCTGCGTTGGCCTTAAGGTCCTCAGGGGTCACCATCACAACAAACCGGATGGCCCGCTCGTTGCGGAACATCTCATAGGCCCACCTGCGGATGGAGCGCATGCACTTCACGGCGGCGATCCCGTTGTTGGCAATAAGCACCTGCACGGGAAGACAAGGAAGGAGCTGAAGATGCACATCTACCTGTGCTGGGGGCCACGTGCTACCCCGAGTCCACCTCACAGCTGCAGAGCCTCCTGCAGCCCCTGCGACACAGCATTCCTCTTGGTATTTCTATGCATTTCCATGGCACACATCCCAGCACAGAGCAGGAGCTCAAATTCTGCCAGCCACATGAATGGATCATCAAATAGATGGATGAATGGATGGATGGATGGATGGATAGATGAATGGATGGGTGTTTGGATGAAATACATAAGATATATATTTTTTTATTTTATTTATTTATTTTTTTGGGGACAGAGTCTTGCTCTGTCACCCAGACTGGAGTGTAGTGGTGCAATCACAGCTTACTGCAACTTCAGCCTTCCAGGTTCAAGTGATCCTCCCACCTCAGCCTCCCGAGTAGCTGGGACTACAAGTGTACACCACCACATCCTGCTCATTTTTTTTTATGTTCTTGCAAAGACAGGATTTTGTCATGTTGCCCAGGCTGGTCTTGAACTTGAACACAAACCCAGGCTGGGCTCAAATGATCTGCCCACCTCATCCACCCAAAGTTCTGGGATTACAGGCATGAGCCACTGTGCCAAGCCCAGTGAATGATATTTTTATTCCTTTGGTGTAATCGTGATCGCCCTTAACACTTTTTGATGTTTTACAGTACAATGTGTTTTACCTGCCTTATTTCATTTCATCCTCACATCAGCCCTTTGAAAGAGCTTTCACTATTATTTCTATTTGGGGGTTAAACTATTAAAACTCAGAGGAGCTAATGCACCCGCCCCAGGTCACACAGCAGAGTGAGGACTTGAACTTTCCACAGTCTGACCTGTTCTCTGAACTGCCCTCATGGCTGTCTGTGCATTCTAAAGGCTAAAAGTCTTAGATGCGGTAAGGCGGAACAGTGGTCAATGCTGGTTGTCCTTAACCGCAGAGAGCAACAGAAAGAGTCCTAGTTTCAATTCCCAGTTGCGTCATGAACTTGCTATGTGGCCTTAAGAACACCCCTTCCCTCTCCGAGCTTTATGTCCACATGAAGAGGTACAACTGGCCAATCTCCTGGCCGTGTCTCTAAAAAATAAAGCCAAAGCTCTAGTTTTTTGTTGTTTTATTTTGTTTTTTTTGAGACAGGGTCTCTGATATGCCTTGGCTGTGTCCCCACCCAAATCTCATCTTGTGGTTCCCACAATCCCCACGTGTCATGGGAGGGACTCGGTGGGGGGTAATTGAATCATGGGGGTGGTTACTCCCATGCTGCTGCTCCCCTGATAGTGAGTGAGTTCTCACGAGATCTGATGGTTTTATAAGGGGCTTTCCCTCTTGCTCGGCACTGCTCCTCGCTGCCACCTTGTGAAGAAGGATGTGTTTGCTTCTCCTTCCACCATGATTGTAAGTTTCCTGAGGCCACCCAGCCATGCAGAACTGTGAGTCAATTAAACCTCTTTCCTTTATAAATTACCAGTCTCGGGTATGTCTTTATTAGCAGTGTGAGAGCAAACTAACACAGTCTCTGTCATCCAGGCTGTAGTGCAATCATAGTTCACTGCAGCCTCAACCCCTCAAGTTCATCTTGCCTCAGCTTCCTGAGTAGCTGGGACTAAAGGCATGCACCAGCACACTCAGCTAATTTTTTTATTTTTTGTAGAGATGGGGTCTTGCTATGTTGCCCAGGCTTGTCTCAAACTCTTGGGCTCAATCAATCCTCCTGCCTTGCCCCTACAAAGTGCTGGAATTACAGATGTGAGCCACCATGTCCAGCCCCTAGTTTTCTTGTTTAAAAAAAAGAAAATTAGGCATATGCCTTCAAAGCTTGACTTACATAGCAATTTCATCATTTTAAGGCCTCCTTCATTGCTGCCTAATCTTCAAGACATTCCTGAAGGGTAAGTCTCATTAGAGAATTGGGATGTGATCACCTCTGTTTTACAGAAGGGGAAACTGAACTCAGATCTCACAGCCCATGAGTGGCGGCACTAAAATTTGACCTCAGGGTTTCTGGTTCAGGTGAAATGTTCTTCTACCCTGTCAAAAAATGCCTCTTGGGAAGACATGATGAAATGGCTGGGCTCTGGCTTTCTCAGTCGATTATCAAAGCAAGGCTTGGTCAAGAGGGAAGGACTTTGATGATCCCAGAATTAGTTTCCCTTGGCCCTATACATTCTAGTGCAACAAATGTGGGAGCCCCATCGGGGAGAGGCTGCTGCAGGCCAGCTTGCGGCTCTAATCCCCACAGCAGCAGCTTTCCTACAAGGAGTGTACAGGAGAAGGCAAGCCAAGGTCAACTCCTAAGCCAGAAAGTACAACAGCTCTGGGCTGAGCCCTTCTGTGGCCGCCCGAGCCTCTCTGGGCTCCTGAGAATTCCACACTAGCCACCAACTGTGCTGAGTGCAAAACTGTCTCCTGGCGAGTGTGACAAAAATGCAGCTTCTGGATCTCCACCCAGGAGAGTTTAAATCCAAGGGTCTGGAGCAGGATGGAAGAATCTGTATTTTCAACCATCAAGACTGTTGGCAAAGGCCAGGCGTGGCACGGTGGCTATGCTTGTAATCCCAAGACTTTAGGAGGCCAAAGAAGGAAGATCACTTGAGCTCAGGAGTGCAAGACCAGCCTGGGCAACATAATGAGACCCCTATCTCTAGAAAAATAAAAAACAAAACTAGCCAGGCATAGTGGTGCACACCTATAATCCCAGCTGCTCAGGAGGTTGAGGCAGGAGGATCACTTGAGCCCAGGAGGTTGAGGCTGTAGCAAACTATGATTGTGCCACTGCACTTCAGCCTGGGCAACAGAGTGAGACCCTATCTCTACAAAAATGAAAACTTAAAAAAATAAAATAAAAAACGACCAGTGGCAGCCAGGTTTTGGAACCTGCATCCTGCATGAGACTTTACCACTCAATACTGTACTTAGTGTGCTGGGTTGAGGGTGTGAGCTCTGGAGCCCAGCTCTGACACTGGGCAAGCAATCTCCCCTCTCTAAGCCTCGGTTTCCTCATCTGTAAAACAATACCCACTGACCAGGCTGAGGGAATGGCTAAATAAGATGCAATGATGTAAAGCAGGGGACAGGATGCCTACCCCAACACAGGCCCTCAATCGATGGCAGCTGTCACTGAGATTGTTATTATTATTATGACCCTGCTCTCCAGTAAAATGGAAAAGAACAAGGTCGTAGAGCCAAACTGGCCTGGGTTCAAATCCCAGCTCCACCTCCTACTAATTACCTAATCTTGGACAACCAACATCAAATCTCTGAATACTAGTTTCTCCACGAATACAATGGCGATCATCAAACAGTATGGATGACCCAGGGCCTTGTGCAGATGGTATAGAAGACAATGTGAAAAGCCTTCAGAACTGGCAAATCTCAGCTACCTCCCTTTCCTTACTGCCATTCTAGTAAGTCGGTCTCCTCTCCTCGAAGCAGCTACGAACCTCAGGAATGCACAGCTGGACTTACGCTTCCCATTCAGTAACCTAGAAAGCGGCCCCATTCCCAAAAGCACCCAGAGTCCTTTGCAGGAGCTTCCTGACCACGCCCAGAGGTCTCAGTCTCCCCATCTGTGAATGGCAGCGATGCACCTGTTGCATTGGGCTGTTGCGAGGGTGAAAAGCTCATGAAGTCAAGCACCCAGCACTGGGTGTCACAAGAGTGTGGCCCTCACCCCCCCACCCCCTCTCTGCAGCAGGCAGAGATTCAGATTGATTCAGATTGAGCCTGAACCTGAATCTCCCACCTCCAGCTGAGAGGAGAGGCCCCTGCACCCCAACCGGACCCTACCCAGAGTGCCGAGACCCATCTGTACCTTCTCGATGACCCGATCCCCGCCAAAGCGTGTGACAAACTCAGCGGGAGAAGCCACTGTAAAGTCTCTGTGCAGGTCCAGCTTCTTGTGTTCCCGTCCCCTCTTCACCAGGTGGAGTCCCGACATGCTCGGCCTGCAGAGTAAGAATGAGGGGCAGACGTGCATGACGGAAGAAGCCCGGGACTCAGAGCTCAGCACCTATAAAGCCAGTGGAGCAGAGAAGCCGAAGTGCACCAGAGCCCCTCTGCTTTGCACTTGCTCTCCAGAGCCCCTGAAGCAATTTACAAGGAGGCTCAAGGGCAAGAAGCACCTTCTTTTTTTTTTTTTTTTTGAGACAGGATCTCATTCTGTCACCCAGGCTGGTATGCAGTGGTGTAATCGTGGCTCACTGCAGCCTCGACCTCCTTGGGTAGCAGGGATCACAGAGGTGCACCACCAAGCCCAGCCAATTTTTTTTTTTTTTT